TGGTTGAGAGATGGTGCGGCGGTAGAAGTAATCCAGGAAGGGACCATGACCAGTAATGAAGTTGGTAAGGGGAGCAATTGCCATAAGGCGCTCCGTGGTTACTTTTGGCAAGAAGCTATGCGCTCTCCTTCCCGTGTCGCCCTGATCCGCGCAAGACTGTTTGTCGGAAATTCTAATGATATGCTGTTTTTAAATATTTTGTGATTTTGCTATTGAATTGAAGTTTATGTCAGGTAAGTGCGAAGACCGTGGTATCTATTAAATAAAGTTAACACATAAAACGTTATTAATAAAAAGACACCAAAAAACGTTTTGTAATCTGCCTTACTAAGGAAACGGAAAATTCATATGATGACCTGAGAAAATACTGAAAAAAAAATCTGATGTGTACACCGCATGACTTCCCTGTACGGAATATTAAATTATACGCATTTTTATTGAATTTCATTTAATCTTATTCGATTGAATTAAATCTACTTCGCCGACAGCGCATAAACCACAATAGAATAAATGCATTCTTTAAAATTCACTCTAGTATTTGTTTCCCATAGCGACAGTCTGGCGCTCAATTCATTAACAGTATTATATTTCTTTCGTATTATAACTCATAATGCACAAAATTTATATCATTTAAAGAATATAATTATCTAATCGTTGCCACATGTTCTATTCAAATACTATAATACAGCTAGAACGATGTATAAAAGAAATTAAGCAAACAAAACAAAAAAGAAACAGTTTTTCACAGACGATTGAGTATTTCTCATTCAATTAATTCAGTTCTCAATTCGCGAGAAGGCAAAAACACATGAAAACTCAAAATATCTATATTAAAAATTACTTAAATTAAATTAAAGTAAATCTTAAACACTTATTTACTCGAAAAAATTCCAGAAAGGATTAAGCATGATTTAATTAGCAATAATAAATGAAGGCGTTATCTTTGCTGTTGCGAAGCTAAGTTTCTCTAGATTGGCAAAAAATCCACTATGCTGTTTCAATTGTAAACAATCAATGGCAGCCATAAAAAAAAAGGCTTAGCAGCACTTTCAAATTGTTGATAATTCTAAAAATATTGCACATTTTTAAAGCAAAAAAATGTGCAATTTACAAATATATAAGAGTAAAGAAACTGAGAGCACTGAGCCGGGTAACAGAGTGGATATATATATAAATATATTTATATACGTTTGGTGCAGCCGATCGCAACCAAAATACGAGGTGCACATCTACATGTTATAGCAGCCCTATATACAAAATTTCAACGTTCTGAGGCTACTCGTTTTTGAGTTATGCGAGATGCGTACGTACGTACATACGTTCGTACAGACGCCACGAAAAATTCTCTTCAGAATTCATTTTTAAAGCAGTTTTAGTTTTTATAATTTTTTTGGAGGAAAACGAGTCTTTTATTCTGTCCTTGCGTACAGATATCACGCAAAAACATCGTTAAATTGCATTCGATAGCGGTCAAAATCGATATTTTCGTTGAAATATGCTGCCTGAAACCTTTCGCGATTACAATACTTCCTTTTTACTTCGTACATGGAAGTAAAAATAGAAAAATTTATACAAACACTGCATCCGGAATTCTAGACATGTACTACTTTTAAAATTTCTATAATTTTGTAACAACAGACTGGGTAGACTGTGAGCTCATCGACAACGTAACAAACCTTAACAAATCCTTTTGGGCGATCGTTAAAATTTGTGCTTTTTCAGATTTTTTATTGTTTTTACATGGATTTCATTTCAAGTAAATGGCCCACTAAGTTGGAAATTTCATTTTCATTACCTTAAAAACTTTGTGCCTTAAAAAGACCGCGTCACACGTTAGTTAATTTGCAACCTTCTTAAATATTAGAATTTTTGTGGGTTCACAACTTATATATTTGAAGTAAGAAGTGATATTTTTGCGTGAGAGTGCAGCAGGCATATGCTTTTTCTTGTGTCGCGAAGTGTGGGAAATTTACTGGAGCGAAGAGAACTTCCATTGTTTCCCATTTTTCATCGAAGGAATTATCTTTGTCATCTTCACTCATAAATCACGACATAGCAAAGTCCCCATATTTTATGTTGCTTTTTTATGCTAAGAGTTCTTAAAATCATTTTATAACTTTAGTCTTTAGTCTTATGCTTGTAAGTTTACAGCTATATAAAGAAGAAAATTTCCCAACAACTTATTCTTGGAAGAGCACTCAGTTACGGACTAGTAGGTAATTGATTCAAATTTCTTTTCATAACTGATAATTTGGCCTCCGATAATAGTACCGAAGTACTCAATGACCGAAGCAAAAATGCCTCTACCATCTGTGAGTATTAGAAAACCACAAAGTAATGTCTGTCTGGGCATCCGATGAAGTCTCGAAAATTATCTCTTAAATAATGTTGTTGTTCAGATGCATTTGAAAAGTCTTGCAAAAAAGAGATGTAAACGTTTTACTTTATAGGGATTCTGGTTCTTACTTCCTTCTACGAAGCAAAGGAAGTATTGTAATCGCTAAAATTTTCAGGTATCATATTTCAACGAAAATATCCATTTTGACTACTAAGGACAGAATTACTTCCTTGTACGAAGTAAAAAGGAAGCATTGTAATCGCGAAAAGTTTCAGGCAGCATATTTCAACGAAAATATCATTTTTTACTGCAATCGAATGCAATTTAACGATGTTTTTGCGTGATATCTGTACATAAGTATAGAATAAAAGACTCTTTTCCTTCAAAAAAATTATAAAACTGCTTTAAAATGAATTCTGAAGAGAATTTTTCGTGGCGTCTGTACGAACGTATGTACGTACGTGCGTACGTATCTCGCATAACTCAAAACGAGTAGCCTCAGAACGTTGAAATTTTGTATACAGGACTGCTATAACATGTAGATGTGCACCTCTTATTTTGGTTGCAATCGGCCGCACCAAACGTATATAAAGATATTTATATAAATATCCACTCTGTTACCCGGCTCAGTGATCTCAGTTTCTTTACTCTTATATGTTTGTAAATTGTACTTTTTTTGCTTTAAAAATGATTGTATTATGTTGTTCTTATCTACCGGTTAAGGTTTTTATGCCTTACGATAATTTGGTTTCCAACCGTACCTTACGATAATTTGATATACCTTATACCTTTATCTCTATGCAATATTTTTAATAAATCTCTATGCAATATTTTTAGAATTAACCACAATTTTAAAGTTGTTTAAGTGCCGCTAAGCCTAATACTTTTCTTGATGGCGGTCATTGTTTGTTTACATTTGAAACAGCAGGATAGTGGATTTGTTGCCAGTATAGAGAAACTTAGCTTCGCAATAACAAAGATAACGCCTTCATTTATTATTGCCAATTAAATCATGGTTAATACTTTCTAGAATTTTTTCGAGGAAATAAGTGTTTCAGATTTACTTCGTAATTTTTAATATAGATATTTTGAATTTTTATATATTTTTGCCTTCTCGCGAAGTGAGAACTGAATTAATTGAATGAGAAATACTCAATCGTCTGTGAAAAACTGTTTCTTTTTTGTTTAATGTTTCTTTTTTCTTTTTGTTTCTTTTATACATCGTTCTAGCTTTATTTATAGTATTTGAATAGAACATGTGGCAACGATTAGATAATTCTATTCTTTAAATGATATAAATTTTGTGCACTCTGAGTTATAATATGAACGAAATATAATACTGTTAAGTTAACCTAGCGCCAGAGTGTCGCTATAGTAAACAAAGTGAATTTTAAAGAATGCATTTATTCTATTGTGATTTATGCGCTGTCGGCGAAGTAGATTTAATTCAATCCAATAAGTTTAAATGAAATACAAAAAAAAAAAAAAAAAAAAAAAAAAATGCGTATAATTTAATATTCCGTACAAGGAAGTCATGTGGTGTACACATCAGATTTTTTTTCCCAAAAGGGTTGAAAAAAAAGGATTTAAAATGGATTCAGAAGAGATCTTTTCGACGCGTCTGTAAGTATGTGTATATCCTGCATAACTCAAAAACGAGTAGCATCAGAATGTTGAAATTTTGTATGTAGGACTGCTAACATCAAGTTATGCACCTCCCTTTCAGGTTTTTAGTTTGCAATTAGCTGCGCCAAAATTACATAAATATATATATAAATCTCTGCTACTCGGCTCTTTAAGCTTTTTTTTTTTTTTATTATTCTTATATGTTGGTAAATAGTTCATTTTTTGCTTTAAATATAATTGAATTATGTTGTTTTTATCTACTGGTTAATGTTTTCATTCCTTTAGTTAATGTGCATGCAGTAGTGGTAAAATTATCAACAATTTAAAAGTTGATTAAGTGCGGCTAAGCCTAATTTTTTTTTATTGTAGCAGCCGTATTTGTTTACATTTGAAACTTATTCGAATAGTGAATTAAGTCAGTTTCTGCACCTTCAGTATCATCCTGCTGAATGGCACAAAAGTTAAACTTACAGTTTTGTGCACCGTAAAAGCTGTCTTCTTGCCTGCTGGCCGAATTGCTTGCGTTTGCATAGAAACGTTAATTTTTAATTATATAAAAAAAATTTGTTTTAACTCTATTTGTGGTTTTATATTTTTTCAATTTTTAATGAAGATATTTTGAGTTTTTATGTATTTTTGACATGCCGCGAAATGAGAACTGAATTAATTGAACGAGAAATGTATCTAATGAAATTCGAGGAAATAAGTTTAAATTAAATGCAGGAAAAAAATGCGTATAATTTAATATTCCGTACAAGAAAGTTATGTGGTGTACACATCAGTTTTTTTTTATTTTTATTATTATTTTTTTCCCCTCCTCTTATAATGGTTAAACATTGCAGTGACTGTTTATTTAATTCTTACGCGACCTGATTCATCAAGCAATCAGGCTGTTAGTTTGTTAGTTCAAATAAAATTTTAAACTCAAATAGAATTTTAAAATCTCTAAACTGGAAATGAAAACTGAAATCTATCAAGCGTTGTGTATACATATGGCCAATCTTATATTTAAACCGGTTTTCTTTTCTTGTTTTAGCACCTTCGGTATGAGGCTATTTTATTTTCTCCCCAACACAAGATGAAGAAAATCCCAAAGAATGTTGTGCTTAAGGAAAAGAAAACTTTGCCAATTTATTCTCCTAGTAGGAGGAGTTTCCTGGATCTCTTTCAGGAAATTATTTCAGGAGAGGATATTTTATTTCCGGTTTCTTGAGAGGATAACGCCAATGTATGCGTTCTTTACAGCGTAAGAAGGTTTTTTTTTAACTTAACTTCCCCCCACACACAGCATTCCTTCTTTCATCTTTTTTCAGTAACTTTCCTGCATATGGTTTAAAGACACTGATTATTTTAAGACTGAATCTGTTGAGTTTGTTTAAGGAGCAATTTTAATTTTAAGAGAAGCAGGAAATTTTTATATGCCAACAATAAATCTCTTTTCGGCATCCGTAGTTTTAAGCAACATTTGTTTTTAAATAATATCCGAACTGTTACTTCAATTTTTTTCTCTTATATAACTCCCAGCAGTCGTTAACTGTATTGGCTAGAAACTGTATCTTGACATTCTCGGCACTGGGGGATAAAAACACGAGCCTGGTGGTTCCAGAACCCCAGGGAAAGATCATCTGATACGACTGGACCAAGGGTGGGGCTGGCTGTAAGGTCCAAAACTGGTGATATCGGTAGCGGTCACAGTTTGCCGTTGAATCCGAATTCCGTATAACGCCATTTAGGTGTCAGTAGCGCGTGCAATGGCCTCCTCAGTGCGAGCTGAAGTGACCATTTAGGTGTCAGTAGCGCGTGCAATGGCTACTCCGTTTTCCATCGATTTCTGTGTAATTCCTTCAGTGCGAGTATTACTGGCAGGGGCATTTTGACGACCAGTCATATCTTCAGAGCTTAGATATATAGAGCTTAGACTTCAGGGTCTTAGATATATAGAGCCGCGCTCTATGGTGGTCTCGATCACCGGAAGTGGTGAACCCGGTCGACCAGTTCAGCCATGAGTGTGCCATCGTGGTGTGGTGGTCTGCACGCTAGGCCGGTATTCCAGAGGTCCGTGGTTCGATTCCCGGCGAAAGCGTTTCCTAATTTTTGCTCAGCGATACGGAATACAAAAGAAATTCCCGGACCTCTAGATCGCGGGTTCTATCCCTCCTCGTGTCCAGCGCCTGGGAAAAACTTCTTTATCATGTATTGGAAAAATCAGAGCGGCAAAGAATTGAGCAGAAAAGCTACGAACGGGATTTCAAGCAGCTATGCTACTCATTCGCAAAATCAGAAGATTAGAAAAGATTTAGAAACGCCCTCCATGACTAACCAATAGGAAAGCAGGAAACCCTCACGACTATTTTCTGGACTTGATTATCATCTATCTCTTATGCAGTCTACCCTCTTCTCCGGAGGGCGTATACGCAAGGCTCTTACCATCACAACATCTTGTGGGAATTCTTTTTTTAGAAACCTCAGCCAACACTACTTATGTTATGGTAGGAAAGCTAAGTCATTTCGCTATGCGTTACATACAGGATGAGGCTTGGTTCCATATGCTTCGCACCTGAGCCTTCAGCCAGGAGTATGAGAGATCATTTAGAGTCTGTCGCTTGTAAGTGTAGGACAGGAGGCATTTATTCGTAACATAATTGGTAACATATTTGCCTGAAAGACACGCCCCCTACCTAATATGGAGGTCTTAAAGTTTCGGGTCGGGCCTTGTTGTGCGTCTGAGTTCGCAGTTAACAAAAAAAAAAAAAAAAAAAAAAAAAAAAAAAAAAAAACTTGCTTGTGTTTCAGAAACGCGTTATGAGGTATGATTCCAAGTTTCTAGATCTGAACCAGGGAATAATATTAACCGCTTTCACAGTGCGGTCAAAAATTATTTCTGAGGTTAAGAAGATTTATGTAACCAGTTAAATATCTTTACTGTAATTTAAAATTTTATGTTTTCCTACCAAAATGCTAATTTTAGTTCGTGCGTATTCGAGTGAGGTAGAAAGAGATAGCATTTTAAGGAAAGCTTTAGATTGTTTAAGCAAAGCGTGTTCAGCCTGCTGAAGACCACGTTAGTAGTTGCAGTTCTACTACAGAAGTATGTCATAGGCATTGCATTGTTCTTGTTACGCCGGTATAGGCTTGAGCCACCTTGCACTTTATTTATTTCTGTGTGGCCTTTGGCTAACTTAATTTAATTTAGTTTAATTTGAATTTATGTCATTTTGAGTTACGTTGTAAATGCTTGATGTTTCGTAAGCACAAAAAGTGCCTTTTGTTTAGTTCTTTTGAGTTCTGGATCAAAGGCTTTTTTATAACCTTCTTAAGTTCTGTTTCGTCTTAGACATAGCGATAGGTCGCTTACACGTCTAATCAAGGATTTGCCATAAGTTACATTTAATTGCAGGCGCAATCCCTACAAAGTAATAGTGAAAAACAGCTTTGTGTTCAAGAACTCTGTCCGGAAAGAAAAGTCATCCCATTGCGTTCTTTGTCTTTCTAGTCGCTTTCACCGTTTCCAATATACTCTCTTTGGAAGCAGTAAGAGATCCCTTGCAAGGAGTTGCTTGCGAAAATACCATTGGCATATTCTCCTTCGGAGGTCAAACAGTGTTATCAGATTATATTTCTTGATTTACTTATATGGGTTTAATTTAATTTTCTAATAGTTATTTTTATTTTGGAATAAGCCTTTCCTTTTTCTCGTTTCCCACCTACGATTCTCTACCAGAATGAGATTTCAGAATTATATTCTATGTAAATGAGGAGAAACCAGTATTTAAGTTGGAGTCTGGGTCACTTCTTTAGAAGAATCTAAGAGAGCGTGTTCTGTCTTCCGGCCACGTTGCTGCTAAAGTCTAATCTTACTATTATTCGGCCGTATTATTATGTGCCGGCTAGTATTCACCGGTGATCTTAAATAAGGACCAACTCTGTTAGTTAATTCTATACAGCTTCGGCTGGTTTTAGTTTAGTTAGCGTTAGATTATTTTCTTATTTTATATCTTGAGTGGCTTATTGTAAGCCCGAGAAGCGGCCATCTGTGAATTATTTTGAGTTGATATAAAGGATAATTTTACTTTTCTTTGGACTTGTCTTTTACTTACAGAACCATGCCATACGTCGCTTTACATTTCTTCGATATTCCAGCTCTCATGCACTTCCAATTTAGCTGGGATATTACAATATTTAAGGCCCACCAGCGGCCGACCGGTAAAGTCGCTGAACACTGGTAGTTCGGTCCGAGGTTCGAATCCAGCGAATGGGCTGGCTGCATGGGCGTTTTCGTGGTTTTCCCCGTGTGCAACGTGTATACGAGTCAGTTTCCTTTAGAAAGTCCTTCACGAAGGCATCCTTCCCCTTAGGCTGATAGCCCTAGTGTGCTTTGCCATAATTAAATACACCAAAGACCAATTACAATATTTAAACTGAGGTTTCCGCTTGTTAAAAACCATGCGGTCATGTATACTTTTGTTGTTGGATGAAGCAATGCCAAACACGTGGCTGTTGTGTGAGACTAAGATTGCGGGATCAAAACTAATATGATCCGCAATAGTGCGTTTGTTGTTTTCACAAATTCTTTTATAAGTTTCGCCGTATGATGTGTATGTGTTTATTCACGAGACAAGAAAAATAATACAATTTAAATTGTTTGAATCGATGAATGTAACAATGTGGTTAGTTGGTAAACTGGTTATAACAAGAGCTATACGCCTTAAGATGGGCGCCTTAGCTGTTTGTACTAATGAACTCGCTGTGTGGGGACTGAACCCGGAGTAAACCATCAGGATTCAAAGCATTCTTATTCGTTCGGCCATTAGTGGAGTTGTTCTGGCGTGAATTTTTACCGCAATGCTTTTTTGCAGTAAAGTTGCTTTCATCGGTAATGTGGGGATTAACCCTTAGCGCTCCTTTGGCTCCGCTGCGGAGCCGTCGGTCATTTGTTCCGTAACTCCGTAGGCTCCGCTGCAGAGTCGTCCGTCATATGTTCCGTAACTCCGTAGGCTCCGCTATGGCGGTACAGGTCAGTTCGACGGCAACGGTTCGACGCCAGCGTTTCGACGCGTAGTCAATTCGACACGAGGTCGTTTCGACGCGGGGTCAGTTCGACGCCATACTTTTTTGCTTTTGTTTGACGCCATACTTTCGTATTTTTATTTATTTTTAGAATAAGTTTGCATCATCATTCATATAAATTTGGTGTCATCATCATTTGGTTACACATTATGGGAATTCATAATTATGGGAATTCATAATTAACATTATTCATAATAACCCCACATTATGGGAATTCATAGATGGTTTCAGGCGTGTTCAGAAATCAATTGAACAATATTATGAACAATTTGTACGTAAAGATGAACCGCCGCACAAGCAGAATAGGTATCTGTGAACTGATATGAGAATTAAAGTAATAGTTGAAGATTTTGAAAATAAAAAAATAATGGAATACTTGAAAGGTGTGGCGCATAATTTTGCAATGGATTAGTAGAATTACAGTTCTGTGATGTAGTCTTATTTATCTCTAATCTTATTTATGTGTAATCTTATTTATCTGTAATTATATTTGTCTGCAATATAATATAACTACTTTGTAATATGTTTATTTACCCCATTTGTGTATTTTGCCTTTTTGATGTATTTGCTTTGTGAGTAAATAAATAAAACAAAACCTCCCTATGGCCGGGGCCTTGAGTTGGAGAGGGGGCTCTCAATAATCTGGGACACAAACAAAATCTAGAACACTTTCACACATATACATACATATATTTATTTCAAGTATGCATGCAAACAATCGCTAATTGAATAAATAAAAATCGGTCATATTACTTATTAAAACTATTGACTATTATTCACTGATTTTTATTAAGTCATATTACTTAATAAAAATCAGTCAAATTACTTCATATTTATTCTAAAAATAAATTAAAATACGAAAAAAATACTGCCCCTGCGTCGAAACGTACGGCGTCGAAACGTTGGCGTCGAGCGTCGGTTGTCGATACGTTGCCTTCGCCGCTGAGGAGCCCAATATTTTTAGGAATATTAGGCTTAAGATGTTAACGGAATCGTCGGCATTGCAATGTTATTCTGTAGTTAAAACTGCCAGTAGCTACTGTTTACGATGAACAGTATTTGACCCATTTTAGGTAGCAACTGGAGAAAAATAAGTATTGTGATGAGAATAAGAGTTGAGTGATCGTGAAACGTGTGTTGATTTTCATTTTAGAAGATTTGTGAAACAACGTGATTAGGAT